CCGCCTTCAACGAAGGTGGAGTCCTCTCCTCTCATCACCCCAGGATGCCCCGACCCCAACCTCGGAATAAGTCTGAGCGGCCCCGGACACCCCTCCACCTCCCGGGTACCATTAGGTTGTTCCCCATGGTGCACAGACCCGGGTGTGGGATCCTCCATCCGCACAGTCATGACCGTGATGAGGGGATGAGGTTCTCTCTCCCTTTGGCTGCCGGAGCACCGGCGTGCAATGCCTCAGAGAGAGGGGTCCTCCTAGGACGCATCAAGGGTTCCCCGACCCCGACCTCAGAAACATCCGAGCGGCTCGGAGCATCCCTCCACCACCCACGCCCATGGGGGGACGATCCCCATGGGGTGGAGTCCTGGGTGAGTAATGGGTACATCCCTCCAGCCCGGTCTAACCATAACGGTCCAACCGAGGCAGCAGGAAAGGGTTTTTTCTCTTCGGCTGCCGGAGCACCGGCGTGCAATGCCTCGGAGAGATAGGTCCCCTTCCTAGAGCGAGTGCAGAAGAGGCCATCCCTGTCGGCTGCCGGTGCATCGGCATGCAATGCCTTCAGGGGTGGTGATCTCCTCTCACCCGCTCTGTGACCATTCTGGTCCAAGACCAGGCTTGTCACCCTGCCCAGTCGGGTGCTCTTGGTCCAGTCCCTCAGTACAGACCACTCCGGCATGGTAGAACCTGCCAGGGGCCGAAACCCCCGCCGGCACAGCTCTGTACATCATTGATACCTTCAAGCCTCCCCACCACGTCAAGGTGGCACCCTCGGGGAGGAATCACAAAGGATCATTTTTTTTTTTTTTTTGACGAGGAGGAAATCCATCATGGATACCCTGACCCTCGGGGAAGGGCCAGGGTTATGCCGGACTCCTACCGGCTAAAACCTCCCCGGGTGGCGCTGCGAAGGGACTTGGGTCGGGGCCCCGGTGCCGCGTAACTGCTAATCGGGGCCCCGAGTCCAGGTTTGCACCTTCGGTCTCTGAGGGGCGGGGCGGGGGAGGGGGGAAGCTGACCCGAGGGTCCGCTTCGACCACCGCTCCCCCAGGGGAAGGGGGAAGCCGGCCCGACGGCCCGCTTCGACCACCGTTCCCCTTTCCCACCCCTCACGCCTCGTCTCTTCGGTCGGGAAGGGGGACGCCGGCCGAGGCCCGCTTCACCACCGTTCCCGACCAGACGAGGCGCCGCCAGTACACGTTGTGTGGCTGACTGACCCACCGTATCAGCCAGCCACCCTACGTTGGGAGGGTTAGTTGAGGCACTGGGAGTCCCCGCCCGGTGCCCCACCCTCCCGCCCGACGGTTACGGGGAGATATACTCCCCTAACCGCCGGGCTCTCCCCACCTCCGCGGAGGAATGGGGCGGGGGGTCCTAATGACCCCCCTCCCGCATGTCCGATTGGTCTATCGGACCTGTGATTGGAGGGGGGAGGGGCATTTATTCCGATGATGCGTTACCATCGATGCCCTCTCCCCTCCTTATTGTCATCCGACACCCTTCTTCTTCGAGGGTGTCGGTGGTCTGCAGGCGTGGGGCCTGGGCCTGAGCCTCGACCCCCACCCGCTCCCTTCACCCGTCGCTGCCATTGGTAGGGCAGCGAGGGGTGGCGGCGGCGGCGGTGCCACATCCACCCCAACTGCAGGGGCGGCAAGCGTTGCTACCGCCGCCACCAGTGGGGCGAGCCTACGCAACGCCACCACCGCCACCCCTCTGTCTCTAATGAGGGCTCCCAACTGCCCCCTCCAGGTCGTTCTCCTTCCTCTCGCTCTCCTTGTTGGAGGGGGAGCAGAGGGCTGAGGGGGAGGAGGAGGTGGTGGAGGCTGAGCCCCCAGCCTCCTCAGTTCCTCCTCCTCCGAGGAGTCTGCGTCCCCCTCTCTGCTCCTGCTCCTCCCTCCCCTCCACTGACGGTGGCTGTCCCTCCGTCTTTTCCGCCTTCCTCTGCCTTCTGCTCTCCTCCTTTCTTCCTCGGCCTCCTCCTTCCGCTTCATCACCCCCTCGCAGAAGGAGGTGAAAGCCTCCCACTTCTTTTCGCTCCCCAGTATCGCCCGGACTATACTGGGGAGCGAAAGGTCGCGACCTAACTCTCTCTCCACGACTCCGCGCTCGTTGCTCCAGGCCGGACACTCCTGGAGCGTGTGCTGCGCGGAGTCGTGGCCATGCCCGCAGTGGTGGTAGGCGGCTGTGCGCTCCTTTCCTATGCGGCACAGGTACTCACCGAAGCAACCATGCCCGGTGAGCACCTGCGCCGCCCTGAAAGTCAGGGCCCCATGGGCCCTTCCCACCCACTCGAGCAGGAAGGGCCGGACGGCCTCGACGGTCCTCCTCCCGTACCTGGCATTGGCCAGATACCTCTGCCATCTTTCGAGGAGGATCCGTCGAGTCTGGTGCTTCATCTCCCGGATTGCCCTGGCGAGCGGTACGTCCGCCCCCCTGCTCTTAGGAGCTCGCGCTTCCTGTCGTACATGCGTTTGTACGACAGGGCCACGAGCTCCATAGGGGGCATGCTCGCCAGGACTGTCGCCGCCACGCAGGAGACGGTACGGTAGCACCTCGCTACCCGGACCGCCAGCCCCCTTTGCACTCTGCGCAATCGCGCTTGCATCGGGCGACTGGCGGCTAGCGACTCGGCCCACACCGGTGCTCCGTACATGGCCACCGAGTTGAGGACTCCTGCGTGGAGGCGACGTGCCTTCATGTCTGGTCCCCCGACATTGGGCATTAACCTGCCCAGGTTGACGGAAATCATCCTGAGTCGGGGGACCAGTCTGCTAAGATGTTCTCTGAAGCACCAGGTGCCGTCCAGGGTGAGGCCCAGATACTTCATCTGGGCCTCTATGGGGACCTTGAATTGGCCTATCCTGACATGGGCCTGGGGTGGCTTCATGCCCTTGGCGTGTAGGAAGATCGCCTCGGTCTTCCTTTCCGCCACCACCAGGCCCAGGTTGCGGATGGAGCGCACAACCGCCGCCACCGCTAGGTTCGCGGTGTGAACGGCTTCCCCCCAGTCTCTCCCCTCGGCCAGGACGAGCGTGTCGTCTGCGTAACACAACGTGCTACAGCCGGGGGGGAGGGCTGTCCGGAGGACTGAGTCGTACCCAATGTTCCAAAGCAGGGGCCCCAACACAGACCCCTGTGGGACCCCACGACTCATCCCCCTCTCTCGTACCGTGCCATCGGCGTCCGTCCACATGAGACGCCGACCCCGGAAGTAGTCCTCTATGACGGCCGTGAGGTAGGGTGGGAAGCGGAAATAACCTCTCATCGCTTGCACCACCCTACCCCAGGGCAGGGTGTTAAACGCATTCGCGATATCTAATGATATCGCGACTGCCACCCTGCCCTCCGACACTATGGCCCCCGAGAGGGACTTCAGATGCAATACCGCATCTATAGTTGATCTGCCCTCTCGGAAGCCATATTGGCCGTCACCTAAGTCAGGACCCTCCCGGGACATATGCCTCTTGAGGCGGACCGCTATTATACTCTCGAAGAGCTTGCCCGCCTCATCCAGGAGGCATATGGGCCGGTACGCGGAGGGGGAATCCTCCGGCTTGCCCTCTTTTCAGAGGAGGACCACGTTGGCCCTCCCCCAGACTGGGGGGAATCTTCGTTCCCTCATGGCCCTTGTAAAAAGGCGCGCGAGCCTGTCGCTCATATACCCTGAGGCCAGGGTGAGGACACGGCCGGGGATACCATCGGGTCCCGGAGCTTTTCTGCTCTTGACCCTCTTGGTAGCCTCGGCCACCTCCTCCTCGGTGACTCCCGGAACCTCCCCCTGTTGTTCGGGGGATGGGGTTACGTACTGGGTGATGGGGTTGTCCCCCCCAACCGGGAATAGGGTCCCCATCACCCGTCCCAGGAACCGGGAGTCAAGCGTCTCCGTCAGAGGGGGCGCCCATGGTCTCAGCTTTTGCATGACCATCCTGTATGGGCGCCTTCACGGATCCGCGTCTAGCGAGAGGAGGAGGTCGTCCCACCCCTTTCCTCTGGCCACCCCTATGGCGTTCCGGAGTTCTTTGGCGGCTGCGCAGAACTCCAGCCGGGCGGCCAGAGTGACCTCAGGGTCCGCGTCCCAACCCACTGCTCGGAATGCGCGCCTGAGGTGGACCGACCTCCGCCGCAACGCGGCAATTTGGTCAGTCCACCACCAGGCGCATCGTTTTGGGCAGGCCCTGACTCTGGGCATGGAGGCATCGCACGCGAGTGCGAGAACCTGCATAACCTCCATGACCTCAGAGTCAAGGTCCTGCCCTTCCTTCCACTGTGGCCAGGTGGAGTCCATCAGGGAGATCTCCAAGTCCTCCCTGTTTAGCTGGGCCAGAGCCCATCTACCGGGCCGGGGTCCGTCCGTATTGCGGGGCCGTAGGCCATCGGGGGTGACGGAGAGCTCCATCTCTATTATGAGATGGTCAGACAACGATTCTAGCTCCTCCGCCACCCTCCAGGTCCGCACCCTTCGCAGGGCCGAGGGGGTTGCCCAAGACATGTCGATAATAGACTCTCCCCTCGACCCCACGAACGTAGATTTTTTGCCGTCATTCATAATGTGCAGACCTAGGCCCACGGCCCAATCCGCTGTTACCTCCCCCCTCCTGTCATCGCTCCGGGAGCCCCATAGCTCCGACTTGGCGTTGAAATCGCCGGCGACAATGACAGGACCCGGGAGATGTCTCTTGATGACATCTCCCATTTCTTGGAGCCTGGACTTGTAATCAACCAAGCCCAGGCTCTTTTCTGGGAGGAGGTATACCCCGACCACGGTGACGACTCCCCACCTGGCCACAACGAACCCCCTACCTCGGTCCAAGTACTTGGCAGGGGGTGAGCTGTCGCTCGCCTTCCAGACTATAGCGACAGAGCCCACCTCGTCCCCGAACCATCTATGGTTTCTGGGGACATGATGGGGCTCTGCCGCTATACCTAAGCCTGCACCGCGCTCCGTCATTGTGTGCTCGAACAAAGGGAGCGCTTGACGGGCGCGGTGCAGGTTTCCTTGTAACAGTTTAGTGTCCATTGTTCTGTTCTGTTATGACAACTATCTTCTCTCCCGGCTGTTCGCCGTCGGTATCCTCACTCTCAGCTGGTCTCGCTCTTTTTTCTGCTCTCTTCTCCTCCACCTCCATCTTCCCATCATCAATGGGGGTCTGAGGGGGAGGTGGAAGAGGTAGGAAGGTTCTTCTCCTCCTTTGAGGAAGCGGAGGTTGGGGTTCCGGCTCCTGGTTTACCCCCTCCTCCGCCTCCTTTCCTTCCTCGGTCTCCTTCCTCTTCTCCTCTGAGGATGCGGGAGGGTCTCGTGGCGGCGGTGCGGTCGCCATACCCCCTACCACCGCATCCCCAGAGATTTTCTTCTTGCCCTTGGGGGGACGGCAGGATGGTCCCTCCATTCTATGTCCCGATTTTACACCTGCCTCCTCACAGATTTGACACCTGGCTCTTGAACTGCAGTCCCGAGCCAGGTGTCCGGGTTCTCCGCATCTGTAACAGTTGGCTCTCCTATCACTGTTATTTGTGCAATTAATCTGCACGTGCCCTCTTTCCAAGCATTTAAAGCATTGGAGTGCCCTTGCCTGTAGAAGTTCTACTTTGGCCTGCGTCCAGCCTATTTTAATGTTGCCTGTTTCTGCAACCCTCTTGGCCGCCGCGAGGGGGCACTGTACCCATAATGTCCTGTAGTTATTCCAGGCCATTTTTATACTCCCAGTCTTTACTTCTCCTACTTGACATCCCCCTATCTTAGCCACTGCCTCCGCCGCTTCGCTCTCCGAGGTGGATATTTCCAGCCCTTTGAGTCTCAGTTCACCCATTTTCTGCGCCCTGCTTACTCTTGCCCTGTCTGTCAAGACCTCCTTAAGTTTGTCCGCCAATAGGTCCGCCAGCTTACTCCTTTCTTCGCCGGGTATCTCGAGCACAAGTGCTCCGGTGGCCCCTACTCTGGTTTTTATCTTCTCGATACCCATCCCGGTTAGATCTATCTTCCTCTTTGCTTCAGCTAGCAGGTCCTTGTATTGTCCTTTTTCGGCGGTGATTGTTACTGCCGCTGTGTTGGGGACTCTTCTCTTGTTCTTTTTTCCTTCTTTCTTTTCGGAGATTACCACCTTTTTTATTATTTCTTTCCTCTTTTGCTCTTCTTTCTCCCTCCTCTTTTCTCTTCTGCCCACCACTTTCGCCCACAATTCTTGTGGTGTAGGTGCCTCCTCCTTGCCATGTTGTGCTTGTTGTTCCTTTCTTTGTAATCTCGTGGGCGGAAGTTGGGGGTACTCTTTGATGTAATTGTTTCCCCCGTATTGTGCCCTTCCTTGATCCCCTATTTCTTTTACCTCTCCTTTTCCTTTGTTTCCTTTGTTTCTCCCGGTCCCTTGTTTGGGAGTTTCCTGTGATTTCCATTCGTTCAGGGCCTGGAACACCATCCTGGACACTTCCTCTCCCAGTCCCTTCTTTCCTCCTTTTACTGGATCCTCCCTCCTTTCCATCCTAACTTTAGTATTCAGGAGGACATTTTCCCTAATCTTGGGACCTGCTTCTCCTGTTTTTGCGACCCTGCCTTCCCTCACCGGGCGTCTCTTATCCTTTGGAATCAGTCCCTTTTGGATCTCTATTACTCCAATCGGGACTTCCTCCTCCTCCACCATGTCCACCATAGGTGGGGTGATCGCCCTTTCTTTCTCCTTTATGTGGATCAGGGGCGAGGGAGCACCCGCCATATGTTGCAGCGCCTCCTCCACACCCTGACCCACGTTTCCCAGGTGCTTCGGGGGCGGGGAGAATACCGCTGCTGCTTGCAGCGGTGTCTCCCTTATACCCCGAAGCATTTCCTTCACTTCCTCCAGTTCCTTTCTTACTTCCCTCAGCGATGTTTTCAGATTCATATTCTCTGTTCTTAACTCCTCTATCAAGTCCAAGTTGTTTCCGCATCTGTCCTGTGCCATTTGCATGGCCATGACATTTGTTCCTGCTGTTATCGCCGCCGCAGCGTCCCTGAGTACCTTCACGTGCGTACCTTTGAGGCTCTTAGATTTTTGTGAGAATCCCAGAACCTTGCTAGATGCTTCCAAAATAGACGCCGTTATGTCTCGGAAGGGGGCCTACTCTAGATGTTCCGTTATTCTTTTAATCTCTGCTTTGTATTTTCTATTGAGGTGCAATCCTGAAACTCCTCCATTGGATTTTCCATGCCTTTAAGCAGAAATTCTTCTTTTTTTTGTTCTACAATGGCCTGCTTTCTTGCCATGAACTCTTTCTTGAGGCGATATCCCCCTGTCGTCTCTGGCCTGCCCCTGCCTCTGGTGGCCTTCTCAACGAGACGCTCCTCGTCCGTATTTCCGTCTTCGTCCCTGGGGATATCCCATTTCCTTCTTTTTTCTTGATGATTTTTTTGCCATCATCAGAGTCTCTTCCCTGGAGGTGGCAAACGGCGTCGACTCATCAGCTCTGATAGGCGATCTAGATCTAGATCTGTCGCTGTCGCAGATCTCTTCCGCCTTACTTAGCCTTTCTGGGCCTTTAACCACTCCTAAGGCCCCTCTTCCTTCTTACCGTAGACTGCTTTTGCCAGCTTCGGCTTCTTCGTGTCCTTTGTACTAGCCTGGTCGTCATATTCAGTTTCCGAATCGATGAGTCAATATTTGAGGAGGTTTTAAATTCAGTCATTGTGAGTCTCAAACCACCACCACCCCTGCACGGCTCCGGTGCCCGGGCTGCTGGAGTTCCCGCGGGGCGGAAAAGGGAGAGCCTCGAGTTCCCCGGGAGGAGCACCATTTGGCACTGTGCCGACGGGTGGAAAAAATCGCCGCGCCGAAACTTTGGGCCCTCTCCCCCCCCCCCAACCCCCCCCCCATTTTTTCCCTTTTCCCCTGTTTTTT